CTATACGTTTTCGTAGTTACATTCGCCGAATGGTGGAACTCCTTGTAAGAAGCAACAGCAACGACAATTGATGTTGAGTCTTCTCAAAGAAGGAAAGAAGTATAGATAACTAATGTAGGTGACCTTGTAGGATGAATGCGGAGTCTACTCAAGAAAAACGGGAATGGTGTGGTCTCCAAAATTATGTCGAGACCACACTTTGTGACATACAAAAGGTTTTCAAAGCTCGACCCTAACTGGCTTTGTATGTTTCGTTTTTTCGAGTAAGACATTTCCAATCCTAAAGGTAATAAGCTTTCTGTCACTGGCCAGCAAGAAAATCGATGACAGCTGAGCCGGTAAAATTATAGTGAACAGAACACGGGTGAGGACAATCGAATGTATTTAACACGAAATTACAGGACCTGTTAATTAAATCTACAATCATAAAGTAATGTCCACCAATTGTCTCGAAATGGCTCAGACTTCATTGTTTCTGCATTTTCACACAAATCGCATCCTGTTTCCATTCTTTACTGTTTGATCCTCTTGTCTCTTTGCTGCCAGGCCTTCTGTTCACGACTAACATCATATACTACTTATGACAATATATGTAACACACACCACAAAATGAGTATTCACAACGAAGAATGCGTCAGTGAAATAAGTGCTGTTACGGAACGTGCCAAATACCTGACTATTTATTTATTTATTTATTTGAACACATATATATTGGTACAGGAGTGAGCCAAATATATATGCGCCACACAAAACAATGAGAATTTGAGAAAAAAATGAGGAACGTAAATAAATAATTTTAAAAAAACAATAATGAAGGGATTGTTGTAAGGGAGTGTAGTAATAATCATAGTCATAATGGGGGAACGGAAAGGCACAATCAGAAGAAATCTTTCAGTTAAGGGAGAAACAACCACTTTTGTGAAGAAAGTAAAAGAAGGTTACAGCAGGATCGCACCTGGCTTCTATTATGAGCCATATCTGATGACGTCTCTAGCCACTGTGTAGCACCATCTCTCGGACCCCAGCCAGGGAGTCGTGAAGAACCAACACAAGCCAGTCTTTTGCAGCTTTCGTTCATGCCACGACACCATGTCATGCACTGACTACCTCTCCGCTTTTTCCAACCAGTCCCAGAGTCGGCAAATAATCCACGACGTGGAATTCTCTGGGACGACATTCGTAGAACATGTCCAATCCACCGAAGTCGGTGTTTCAAGATGGTGACACCAATTGCATTATCGTCTCTGTGCCCGAACACACGATGCTAAACCTCTGCACTACTGACATGGTGTTGCCACTGGATGTCAGCAATCTTTCGGAGACAGCAATGATCAAACACAGAGAGTCGTCTAACGTCCTCAACTCGGAGAGGCCAGGTTTCACAAGCATAGAACATAACTGCTCTCACCGACGCGTTGTAGATCCGACCTTTTACAGCCAGACTGACATCACGAAGGCGTCAAAGGTGGCCCAGATTGGCATAAGCCGCTCTGGCTTTCACTATACATGCATTGATCTCATCACTCACGCCACCACCAGCACTTATGCAGCTACCCAGATACACGAACTTGTCGACTACTTCTATCTGCTCACCATCCAGGGTGAGTACAGGATTAGAATCCTGCCAGTCTTGTAGACGTACTTTGCACTTCGAAGGTGCAGATCCACACCGCCATTACCTACATCCATCAGAGCTGTTTCCAGAATGTCATCGATGGCAAAGTTGAAGAGGAATGGTGAGATTGGGCAACCCTGCCTAACCCCACTGCTCGGATGGAACAATGGAGAGAGGTGGTTGTATGCCTGAGGTGTTTGTGTATAGGGCTTTTAGGATGTTAATAAACTTCTCAGGCACACCCTTCTTCAATAGACAATCCTAGAGAACAGTTCTGTCCAACGAATCGAAGGCAGCCCTTATGTCAAGAAACACTACGATTGTTGGCCTTTGACAAGTATGGCGGTGTTCTAACATTTGGCGAAGGGTGAAGATATGATCAATACATCCTCGACCAGAACGAAATACAGCCTGCTCCTCGCGAGTCAATCTTTCTCGGGTTTTGAACAACCTACGAAGTATGACGGAAGCCAATAGCTTGGACGCAACTGGAAGTAGACTTATCCCCCGATAGTTGTTACAGGAACGACGTGAACCATTTTTAAAGATAGGGACAACTATCGACTCATTCCATGACGTTGGTACACTCTTTAGTTCCCAGACCTTTGTAAACAACGTCGTCAGTTCCTTAGCCAGAAAGTCACCACCATCTTTAAAAAGAGGCGGAGGTAAGTCATCTGGGCCAGGTGATTTGTAGCGCTTTAAGAGTTGGAGTTCCTTGCGGACTTCCTCCTCATTTGGTGTATCAGTCGTCACCGGCCATAGAGGGCAGGACAGTCTGACCGATGTTGCCGGAGCAACAGGCCAGTTGGACTGCCCATCGTCCAAGACGTCGATGGATGTTAGTGATTGGCATCCCATCATCCTCGTAGATTGTTTCGCTTACACCAGACTTCTTGCTGCCAGTTGCTCGGGTGGGTTGGAAGAGCTTCCGGTAGTTACCAGATGCAGCTTCTGCCTCCAGCTCATTAGCACGCTCCGACCACCAGGCTTCTCGGTCCTTACGCAAGCTTTGCTCGATTTCATTACGTAACAGTCGTCGTTTGTGGTCAAACTCACGGTTACCCGGAGTAGACCAACGGGCTTCGATGAGTTGTACGGAGTCTGAAGAAACCCAGTGCTTGTAAGCGGGACGTTTTGCGAACCCACAACTGAATCTACTCGCCATTTTGATGGTGTCATGCAATCGCAACCAATGCTCATCTATACATTTCGGTGGGATGGTAGCTAGCCTAGAAGCTAGCTCTGTTTGATACTTTCTAGCAACAGAAGTTGCAACCAACTTGCTAACATCAACCCTTTGGTGAAGGTCACTTCGTTGGCCACTGAAAAGAAAGGTAAGATAAGCTCAGACCAAGGCATGATCGGAGTCTAGATAGGTACTCCAAAAAGAGAGGCAGTCCTGTACACAACCGTGCCAGCGGTAACTGATCGCGATGGAAACAACCTGAGTCCAGGCTTGAGATGCAGAGGGAGGACGCCAGGTGGCACATCGGCGATGGCTGTACCGGAAGTTAGTGCTAGTCAAAAGTAGGTTGTGGTCTGTGCACAGTTTCATTAGACGGTCCTCGTTATCTGTCCTGTGACCAACAAGTCCCAATCGGCCACCTAAACAACTCTTCTGTATCTAGACGCCCGACCTGAGCATTCAAGTCTCCGGCTAGTACTACAATATCTGTCGAACAGTTGACTGGTGGTAGAATTCATCCTTGATTGCATCCGGGCTGCAATCTATCGAGGCATAGGTGGAGATGACGGAAAGATCGTTTCTCACGCCGATTTCTTCTCACTTTGATGGAACTCTCTAATCTAACAGCACACAACCGACTGTTAATGGGGATTCTATCGATTTGTGCTGCCTCAGCTCTAGCGCTTAGTGCGACACCAACGCCAGCAAAACCAGACGAAGATGCCACAGGGTCCCCGGATAAACGTACGTAAAACAAGCTTTTCGAAGCGACAGATGGAGAGCGAATTTGTAGTACTTCGCCAGAGTCTTGAATACGGATCTCGGATAGACAACAAACGTCGATATTAAGACTTTCCAAAGACATAGCCAGCCCTATCTGTTGTTCGAGCTGCATAAATGTGCGAACGTTGAAGGCAGCCAGCTTGAATGGTGCACGTGGATTCAGAAAAACTGCTTCAGTCCTCGTATTCGGTGGTAACATACAATTTTCAAACGGACAGTGACTCGAGAACGTTTAGATAGAGTCGAATTTCCAATATAGACGAGCTGCTGTATAAGTCGAAAAAACTACGTATAGACAGAATAGGAATAAAAGAGGGTGAATAATGAGGTAGTAAATAATAATAATAATAATAACAATAATAATAATAATAATAATAATAGCAATAATAATATTTGAATCATTTGAATGTTCGTCGAAGCGAGAGAATGATCATAGACAGTCCAGTCCGTTAATTGTGTATGGGCTGTGATACTGCTCGGGTGCCCAAACCGAAGCAGGTGGTTTTCTTAGGGGGCCACACCCCGAGCTTTTGACCTAATAGTCCAACCCACAAGGCAGTGGAGCATCGTAAGGAGATGCAGTCCTATGGTAGCCGGTGACCGAAAATTGGTTCACACGCCATTTGTTCCCTTAGGATACTGGAGCCCATGTGCACCACTGGTTTGGGATCTGGTTAAAGCTCCGGATATTCACTTTTCGTCCCCTCATTTTCGTAAACAACACCCCGGCCACGAGAAGGCAGTGATTAGGACTTCCCTGGCACACGCTTTATACGCGTGGCCGTGTGAGAGTATTTCGAGACGGAGGGCGAACCCACCCCGCTCTCGGCCGTACCAGGGCATTCGGGGAAAAATAGACAAGAAAAGCGCTCATCCGGTTGATATGCATTTAGTAGACTTGTAGTGGCACTGGATTCTAACCACACAACCCTCAAAGCTGATCATGAGATAACTGGAAAATTAGGTATTCAACATGTAACACCAAGAGAACGTCAATAATAGTGAATGCAGGAACATTAATTCAACTGGATGGCATGGCTCAGCCTTGTAGGCGTGGTTCCGTTTTTCCCATCAAGTAGTCATTAAGTGGAACGCCTTACCTGAACAAGTGTTATCAGCACTATTAGTGAATATTCTCCAGAAGAAGCCGAACCTCCACTGGAAAACGAGCTGCGAGGATTAACACAGGTCTTCAAACCTATTATCCTTATTACTGAGGATTGAAGACTTTTATTGTTAATATCTTGTTTCACTTTTCTGTTGTAGGAGAAATGTCACACGGACTATACCATTCCATCGTCAGTAACTCTTTTTTTGCCACTAAATTAAACTGCCTGAAGAACATCTCCTTTTCTAATACCATTATACAATACTTGAAATTTGAGAGGTTTGCCATTGGGAATGTGTACATGCTGAAAATGTATGCGCGTTGTTATTTCCAAGGTCATTAAGGACAAAGTTCGCTTAAATGGACCATCCAGTGACACTAAACGATGTAACTCATTTCTAAATGCTGTTTACGATGGTAGATCAGGTTGATTGGGTGAAAATACATTAATTAGAGTTCTGTTTTTACAAACAAGTGAATCTTGTTGCACTTATAAGTCGACTAATCAACCTGGATCCAGGTTCGATCTAATTAGATCAATCCTCCCTGATTTTAATGTATGCTAAAGCATAAATGTCTATAAATTTTATTTGTGGCTATAAGATGAATGATACATATATGCAAATCAGATTATTAGAAGCATCTGCTCCTGATGCAGATTACGATTGGAGTACATATTGCTCATTAAGCGTACTTGGTACTATTCCATTTATGGTAATTAGTGTTTGCATGGATAAACGGTTTCCTCACCTTAACATATACTCGCAACTTTCTTCTCGGTTCCTACTTATCGTCTGGTTTAAGCTATAAAACCAACGTTTGCAACACTAATATGTTATTTAGCTTTCTACTGGGGAGTAGTTCGAGGTGGTCTCTGTGGGGTGTCCAATACAAACGAATAGGTAACATGTATGTAACAAATTAGCATAAGTCACAGGTTCTTGGTCTCTTGCACTTGGTCATCGTGTTTGCCCCATATAACCCTAGTATAATATACGTTTCAGGGCATGCTATGTTGACCTTTACTTTGTTATTTAACAAATAAATAATAGGGTACTGCAAAATAATTATATCCAACATTTATGTAGTTTATCAGTTACTATAAGAATACTACATGCCTTAATTCTTTAGGACGCAATATTTGTAAACATTCTATCACGACTTCCGAGAATATTTAGTGGTCTTGGGATAGCTTGTATATTCTTCGCAATTTTCTATCACTTCTATGGCTCATATTCTCCACTGTTCATACAACATTTTCTCCTGTTTGGAAAGTCGAACCCTCAGTATTGTGAATATTTGAAGTATTCAAGAGTTCCTAAAAGGTAATTCTGTAGTAATGTGTCCTGTTTCAGTTTGCTACACTTCAGAATTAGTTTTTATTGTTCCCCATTAATCATTGTCAAGTGTTTTATACAAACGTGTAGCTGTGACTCTTTTGCAAACGAATATGTTAGTATTTCTTGAATTCCCACCTTCATCCACACAAAAAATGTCAAGGGTAAGATAAATTCTTTACCTCTGTTTTTATTTTTAACATAAGATTAGTGTACAAACCTATACGTACAGACAAAAGGAATACCCTTACTACGGACTTTTTTAAGAAAAACTGATTGCTAAGATTTGACTTGATAGTCTCAAATAAACTGAGAACTTGGCGTATCGTTCATGGTATTAGACATCAGAAATTTATTTTCCTACTCATTTTAATATTACAAATATATCTTATTATCATAAGAATCTCGGTTGACCAGGATGTTAAACTGCTATTTACTGAATTGGCTTGGTAATGTATTGTACACATCAGAAAATCAGTCAGGTACAACGTAGAACCAAGCACATATATACATCGATCCAAGTTTCCAAACATCATTAACACAAGATGAACAAATTTATAGTACTTAACACAATGGTGGTAATATATAAAAGATAGATTGCATATAAGGATATATAATGAGACAACTACTTAGTGGTACTTCCAATCGTAATTGGATTACGAATCAAGTGGAGAAGAGCAACAACGTGGTCTTATCAAAAAGTGATATCATCTCATCAGTGCACGCTTACATATACACAAATTTATGAATCACCTTGACCGAAATGACATGACATTGATTTATTCAGACTTGTTTTTTGGTTGATTACGTAACATTCTTGTTGTTCCGTTGTACTATTTAAACGGATTAACTTTTTATTTGGTTATTTATTCCCTGAATAAGTGGCTTACACTAAGTGACGAAATGTCAAAATCCAAATTTTCTACTCATTGGGATATTAGAAATATATTGTTTATTTAAAATGGGGAGAGGTTGTTGTATTCCCTCAGTCTCCCTGTCAGTCAGTCAATCAGCTACAACGTAGGACCAGGCACATATGTGCATCGGTCCAGGTTGCCATACCGCATCAGCACAACAAGATGAACACCGGATTCATAGCAGTGGTTATGTCAAAGGTGGTAATATATAAGAGAAAGATTGCATATAGAGATATAGTACAAGAAGAAAAAATTGGTTCGTAGAAAGAAAGGTATGAAGCGATTTTAATCTCTTAGTTTAAGGGAAGACAGGGAGTGTATACACCGACGCCATTGTGATCGATTCTGAGCCATGTCACCAAGAGTCTCCAATCATTGGTTACGATAGTCACGCGGACCCCAACCAAGTAGTCTGCATCTACCAACATGGCTCAGACTAGAAGTTAGTGACTTCAAGCACTGATGCCATGTTTTGGTTTGGCCGCCCCTGACTTTATTCCACCCATCTCCAATACCGGATAGCATTGCACGTCGTGGTAATCGGTATTCAGGCATACGTAACACGTGGCCCAACCATTTCAGTCGATGAAGATTCATAACCTTATCAACTGATTTACCATCATTCCCTAATACCCTGTGTCTAACCTCACTATTACTTACCCGGTGATCCCAGCAGACGCCAGCAATATTTCTAAGGCATCTGTGGTCAAATACTAATAGCTTACGAGTGTCTTTTACTCTTAATGGCCATGTTTCGCTGCCATAAAGTAAAACAGAACGGACTGCCGCGCAGTATACTCGTCCTTTTATTGATAGACGGATATCTCGCCTTCGCCAAAGGTGACGCAAGTTGGCAAAAGCCAAGCGAGCTTTTCGAATCCGTGCTGAGATTTCGTCAGACACCAACCCATTAGGGTTGATCAGACCTCCAAGATGAGTGAAGTTGCCAACGCGTTCGACTACTTCACTCCCTATCCTTAGTTCAGGTGTTGATGCAGACCAGTCCTGAAGCAACAACTTGCATTTAGAGGGAGAGAAGCGCATTCCAAACATTCTGGCATTGTTGCTTAGTGCTACAAAAAGACTGTGTCATCTGCGTATTCTAAGTCGATAAGTGGACCTCCTGGATGGAGATCAATACCCGAGAACTCAGTCGACGAGAAAGTTATTTCCATCAGTAGATCTATGATGAAGTTAAACAAAGATGGGGAAGGTGGACAGCCTTGACGGACACCACTTGAGGTTGCAAAAGTAGATGACAGTTCGTCATAAGCTCTGACTCGACTAGTAGTGTTCGAGTAAAGAGCCTTTACAAGGTTTATGTACTTCTGGGGTACGCCTTTCAATGACAGACACTGCCACAGAGTCTCGCGGTCTACAGAGTCAAATGCTGCTTTTAAGTCGAGAAAGACCACCATTGTCGGACGCCGATAAGTATGCCTGTGTTCTAGAACCTGACGAATGGTGATTATGTGGTCGATGCAGCCACGACCAGGTTTGAAGCCAGCTTGAGTCTCTCGTGTCTGCAGTTCACGAGTCTTAGTTAGGCGTCTGATAATTATCGAGGCTAGTATTTTAGGTATTATATTAGTTAAACTAATCCCTCTGTGGTTGTCACAGGATGATTTTGACCCTTTTTTATATATTGGGACGATAAGTGATTGTGACCAGTCAGATGGAATAACGTCTAACTCCTAGATCTTAGCTAAAATATTAGTCAACCTAGTCGCTAAAATTGGACCACCATCCTTAAAGACCTCTGGAGCCAATCCATCTGGACCAGCCGCCCTTCCTCGTTTCAGATTAACTATAGCCTTTTGAACTTCTGCTAGAGTTGGGGGACCTACTTCAATGTTCCATTCACACTGTCTGGGAATGGAGGGTAGTTGTAGAGTCGCTGAAGGCCAGCTGAACTGTTCCCTAAAATGTTCCGCCCATCGTTCTAAACGTCTGGACTGAGAGCAGATGAGAGTATCGTCTTTTTCCGATATAATCTCACTTACACTTGACTTATTAATTCCAGTTTCTTTTATTAGTCTGTAAAGCTGTCTTGTGTTCCCTATAGTCGCCGCCTTTTCCATCCCTTTTGCTTTCATTGCCCACCACTGCTCACGGTCGTTTCTTAGACTTTTTCTTAACCTAGATCTGATTTGTCGCTCTTCATCATGTTCGGAACCTGATGGGACGAGTTTGCGAGAATCCATCAGTGTGATAGACTTTGAAGAAATCCACTGGTTCTTTGAAACTCTGTGGTTTAATTCGCTAATAGATGTCACTGCTGTTTCCACAGCTGCTTGTATGTCTTTCCAAGCAACATCTGGGTCAGCCTCGTCTTCAGAACTACCTAATTGTGACCTCAGTTGTTCCTGGAACCTACTTTTGGTTTTCTCGTCACTCAACTCAGTTCTAATGGGTCTTTTTAATGTGGCTTTTTTGCGTCCAGTGAGGCGCAAGCAGATGCGTGCCCGTATTAGGGCGTGGTTGGAGTTCAAGCAGGTACTCCAGAATGAGCGACAATCTTCTACCGACCCTCTCCAACGATGACTGATGGCAATATAGTCTATTTGAGTCCATCGTTGGTTTGGTGTAGGGGGTCGCCATGTTAGACGATGTCTTTCCTTATGCTTAAAATTTGTGTTTGCTAAAAATAAGCGATTGTCTGAGCACAGTTGCAGCAGACGGTCACCATTATCTGTTCGCTGTGCCGGAATGCTAAAATGTCCACCTAAATGCCTTTCTGTTTGGTTTAAGCTACCTATCTGAGCATTAAAGTCACCTGCTACGAGTACTATGTCTGAGCGTTTAGCTTTCTGAAGAAGTTCAGTTTAGCCGAACAGCACATAGACGACTGTTGAGGGGGATCCACTCTAGCATTGCTTGTTCCGCCCTCATGCTTAGTGCTATGCCTACACCTGCCAGTCCACGAGAACTGGCCATCGGGTCACCAGATACACAGAGGGTGTATCTCGTTGGCTCTCCGTTTTGCCGAGGTGAGGTCAAGTGAATGACCACACTGGAATCCTGTATGCGTGTTTCGGAGACACAGCATACATCAATGGAAAGAGACTCTAGGGTTTTAGTCAAGGAAGCCTGCTGACCGATTTGACATAGGGTGCGTACGTTGGAGGCTCCAATGTGTAGTTTGGAGCGAGGTTTCAGTAGACCTGGGACAGAGTTTTGAGCACTAGAATCGTTGGCTATGGTGACACTTGAGGAGGAAGTTTAGAGTTGAAAGTCGATGTAGGAGGAATAATAGGAATTGAAGAGGAAGGTTGATTCTGAATGCAGTAGTCTTGGGTGCTGTTAGAGGTATGAGGGCGGTTATCACTCGCCGGTTGCCCACACCGAGGAAGGGTTCTTCTGGAGGTACCTGAAAAGGAAATTGGATTAGAGGCGGTTTCAGTGACCTGAGAGCGTGACCGCAGTGCCCAAGGGACAACTGCTTGAGGCCGGTCGCGCACGGCCTTTTCGTGGGAGGTTTTTGACGTGTTAGCTCCGTTCTTCAAAGGGCCTTACCGCCGGAGACAGAAATCCGTGAGGTAAGGTGAGGTGTGCATTTTTAGGGTCGACCTTTTCTAACCCCACCCCTTCTTGTGGGAAGGCAGCATCGCTGTCATGCTGGTTGTCTGAAGGAAACACCTTACTGCTGTCACACCTCTGTACAGTCAGCAGTACGACTTCGCCTTCGGACCTTGGGTTTGTTGCTTTTAGTCTTGCCGCTCTTCAACCGACCTGTCTGACATGGTAGGACCTTGAGGAACGGTTGTTCCAGCCAGTATAGCTCGGTTGCTTCATCACGATAGGCAAGCCCGACCACCACGTCAAGGTAGCAACAACGGTCGTTCTGCCTGAGGTGTTTTTATAGAGAACCCTCAAGATTACAGCAAACTCAGGCACACCCTTCAACAGACTATTCCGGAGTATACTTACTTACTTACGCCTGTTACTCCCAATGGAGCATAGGCCCCCGACCAGCATTCTCCAACCCACTCTGTCCTGGGCCTTCTTTTCTAGTTCCATCCAATTCTTGTTCATTTTTCTCATGCCTATCTCCATTTCTCGGCGTAATGTGTTCTTTGGTCTTCCTGTTTTCCTTTGACTTTCAGGATTCCATGTAAGGGCTTGTCTTGTGATGCAGTTGGGTGCTTCCCTCAATGTGTGTCATATCCACTTCCAGCGCTTCTTCCTGATTTCTTCCTCCGCTGGGATCTGGTTTGTTCTCTCCCACAGTTGGTTGTTGCTAATAGTGTCCGACCAATGGATCTGAAGTATTTTGCGTAGACAGCTGTTAATAAACACCTGTATTTTCTGGATGATGCCTTTCGTAGTTCTCTAGGTTTCTGCCCCATACAGTAGAACTGTCTTGACATTTGTATTGAAAATCCTGACCTTGGTGTTGGTTGACAGTTGCTTTGAGTTCCAGATGTTCTTCAGTTGTAAATATGCTGCTCTTGCTTTGCCGATCCACGCCTTCACATCTGCATCAGATCCACCCTGTTCATCAATGATGCTGCCCAAGTACGTAAAGGTTTTTACATCTTCCAAATCTTCTCTGTCAATTGTGATTGGATTGGTGCATTCTGTGTTGTATCGGAGAATCCTGCTTTTCCCTTTGTGTATATTGAAACCTATTGCTGCTGAGGCTGCTGCCACACTGTTCGTCTTCTCCTGCATCTGTTGTTGCGTTTGGGATAGAAGGGCCAGATCGTCTGCGAAGTCTAGATCATCCAACTGCATCTTAGATGTCCATTGTATCCCGCGTTTCGCTTCAGATGTTGACGTCTTCATGATCCTGTCGATCACCAGGAGAAAGAGATAGGGTGAGAGTAAGCAACCTTGCCTAACACCGGCCTTTACTTCGAACCAGTCTGTCAATTGTCCTCCATGCACGATTTTGAAGTTTAATCCATCATAGGACGTCCGTATGATATTGACTATCTTTTGAGGTACGCCGTAGTGTCGAAGAAGTTTCCATAGTGTTGTTCTGTCCACGCTATCAAATGCCTTTTCGTAGTCAATGAAGTTGATGTAGAGTGATGAATTCCATTCAATTAATTGTTCCACAATGATTCGTAGAGTTGCGATTCGGTCTGTACACGATCTATCCTTACGGAATCCTGCCTGTTAGTCACGAAGTTGGGCGTATACGAAGTCCTTCATTCTGTTTAACAATACCCTGTTGAAAACTTTTCCCGGTATTGAGAGAAGAGTGATGCCCCTGTAGTTATCACACTTGCTGAGATCGCCTTCGGTATTTTGATCAGAGGTCCTTCTTTCCAGTCTGTTGGTACTTGTTCCTCATCCCAAATCTTATTGAAGAAAATGTGGAGTGTCATTGCACTTGCCGCTACGTCTGCTTTCAGTGCCTCTGCTGGAATGTTGTCCGGTCCTACTGCTTTGCCACTCTTGATTTGTCTGATGGCCATACTGATTTCTTCATTTGTTGGTAAGCCAACATTGATTGGGATGTCCGTGGGTGCTGCTTCGATGTTGGGTGGGTTCAGTGGAGCTGGTCGATTCAAGAGTTCTTTGAAGTGTTCTACCCACCTGTTTTGTTGCTCTTCAATGTTGGTGATTACCTCGCCTTCCTTGCTTTTCACTGGTCGTTCTGGTTTGCGGCGATTTCCAGAGAGTTTTTTTGCTGTGTTATACAGTTGTCTCATGTTTCCTTCTTTTGCAGTCTTTTCCGCCGTCGTTGCTAAATCTTCCATATATTTACGTTTGTCGGTTCTAATGCTCCTCTTCACTTGTTTGTTTACTTCTGTGTAGTAAGCTTGTGCCTTGGCTTTTTCTGCTCTTGTCCGACTGGTATTGATTGCTGCCTTCTTGTTCCTCTGGAGTATAGTTCTGTCCAAAAAATCGAAGGTAGCCATGATATCAAGAAACAGCGATGGTTCGCCTGCAGTAAGTAAGGCGGTACTACGAAATTTTTGTGTGTGGGGGGGAGTAAATATGTAATCGATACACCCACGACGAGAACGAAAATCAGTCTGCTTCTGGATGTTTTGAAGTATAACCGAGGCTAATATTTCAAACACTATCGGAAGTAGTCTTACCCCCCATTAATTGAGTCCGACGACTGTCTTCTTATTCCAAGATGTTAGAGCACTCTATTCCCCTGACCTTTCCTAACAACGTAGTCAGTTCCTTAGCCAAAGGTTCTCTATCCTCCGCAGAAAGAACTAAGTTTAAGTTTTCTGGGGCTTCAGGAGTTTAAGTTCCTGGCGAACTTCCGCGTCGTTATGTGATCAGTCATCACCGGCCGAACTGCTTTTCGTAGAACTCCGTCCATTCTTCAAGATATCACTGAATATATTTTATTGGCATTACATAAGCTTCATACATTGCCTCACTAACACCAGACTTCTTGATTGCAGAATTTTTTAACGTAAGAATCTGTGTTTATTGTTAAATTCGCGGTTAGCACAAGTAGACCAACGTGTCTCAATGTGTGAACCACCCAGTTAGCAATGCTGAGGCTAAATGAAGGGTATCAGTTAAGGTTGTTAAATCGATTGGTGAGATAATGAATCTTTATTGACTGGATAATATGGAAATGTATTACGTATGCTCATCCACCGACTATCTGGACACCCAATTTTTGCTGATGTAGGAATAGGTTGGAAAGAAGCTATATGCTCCCGAATCAAACGTTCCATCAGCTCGTCAAGTCATTCACTAATAAACGGAGTCGTGCAGCTAAGTTTAAATTACGTGGTTGGTTTCTACACGACTCGTAATAGTCCGAAATGGTAGGAATATATTCACTCTTTGTCTTCGCTTAGATCCCAAGTTTTGTATATTATCTTACAATCTTTTTTCATCCTGAAGACTTCTTGAATTATATCTTTTTCCTTTTCTGGTGCTACTCCTACTACTCTAGCGTCTCGCTGTACTGAGATAGTGTGGCAGCGTAGACAAATGCACATATATACCAGGTTTTATGTCGCATACGAATGACTGACTGAGGTCTAGTGTTGTTTAAATAAGTAATCCTGAGTTGGATCTTCAAATGGTGTTATTCATTTTTTCTTAATTCGCCGTTTTAGAGAGTTATAGCATCCCAACAGTTTTTCTTTATCATTTAGTATTCATGAAGATGGCTACCTCAAAGATAGGTTTCGTTGTAGGATAAAATCACACAAATCTGTTAAGTAATTCATTTTCGTGGTAACTTGTGACCTGTGGGATGTTCAGACTGAAAACTTCGTATTTTGGTATAGTCGCGTTTCGTTCACGTGCACTAATTCTAAATTCATTAGTTAATATTTCGTAACAATAATCAGTTCATGATATACCATTATTACTATCTGTTATCTTTACTTGCTGATATTAAGTTAAATAGTTTGTCAAGATTTCATGACATCCATTTCAAAACCACATTTATGTAAATTATGGATTTCCATTTTTTTTTACCAAGTATTCTACTTAAAGATGTTTTATCAAAAACTGGCATTGTTTTCGGGATTGTTTGCATTCGTACAGCTGTTAGTATCTTTCTCACTTCGTTTGTCAATTTAGTTAATCATCAGGTATTCATTAACAAACTAAAATTGTTTCATATTTTTACACGTAATCATTTCTTTTTCTCAAATTTCTCCGGTCAATAAATTAACTATATGCGTATTTATAAGTAATTGTATCAAATTTTTCTTTACAGATGGTTTAAATATTTTTACATGATTGGTATATTCTCTACATTATGTATCCTAATGGTTGAATTATTTATGCTATGTAAGTGGATTTAACATTGTTTCTCATACCCTTATATTTTGTCACTGTTGCAGCATACTTGTTACCCAATCCTTGTATTGTATACCACAATTATTTTGTAGTTGAATTCATGAGTCGATGTAGGCTAGACTACCATTGAAAACCTGAAAGCATTGTACTGCCGTTTCGTCCTACTATGGGACTCCTCGGAAGCGCTCATACACAACCCTGCACTTACTACTCGAACCCAGGACCTACGTTTTTGCGCGTGAACGCTTAACCACTAACGCACTGAGCCGGCATTCAACGGTGTAAATGCCTAACTTTAGTCGACCCATGAATGGTTGCACAATCATTTATCCATTGTCTGAGGTAGATACCTGTCATTAACACCGTTGAATGCCGGCTCCGTGGTTAAGCGTTCACGCGCGAGACCGAAGGTCCTGGGTTCGAGTAGTAAGTGCGGGATCGTGGATGCGCACTGCGGAGTCCCATACTAGGACGAAACGGCAGTCCAATGCTTCCAGGTTTTCAATGGTGTTCTAGCTTACATGACTTATGAATTCAACATTTAAAATCACTACAGTCTTCACAAACCTTATTCTGATTATAATTATTTTGTAAGCATGCAACCAAATGAAGTTTTTCATGTTGTTGAACTGACTACTCTAATTTTAGGTACCATAAATGGATAGTAAAGCACAGTATTATTGCGAAATTTGTCTACTTGCTGTAAACTTTGCTATTTACTTTTTGTCATTATACAATAATTTTTTCTATTATTATGTAGCAAGAGGTTTAATTAATGAATAAATATTAAACTGTTTTAGTTCTAATTATTAAAAGTGTAATTCCTTTAATGTATCCTGTTCAATTTTAATTTACTCATGTCTCATTACGTTTGAATGATCTAAAGATAAAAATTAGTTTGGTTAAAATATTAAATATGTGTACTTTAATTATTGAATCCGGGAGGATGAAAATATTAATTTATGCAATTAGTTCCCTTTATGAACTTAAATAAAGCCAGAGCAGATATTTATGCATCAATGTTTGTTCTGGCCTTATTTAAAATAATAATTACTTGAGTATGATTTTCGTTCAGTTTACTCTTATTGTATTAATAAATTCAGTCTGATTCTTGGTCCTTGTTTAGTTTGGCAAATTCTGTAACTAATTACCACAAAATATGTTTGATAAATAACTGAATAAACTCGAATGTAAATCAATCTTCTTTGTTCCCTACGTTATCAATCTTCCTTTCGTTTAGCTGGAGCTTGGAGGGGACAGAGCTGTTGTAGTTACGAGTTATCGTCAATGTCACAAATATATCAGGTTTGTTAAGCAATGTAGTTAATTTAGAAATCGTTTTTGTCGTAAATTAATTTGAATTGAGAAACAATTTAAAACCAGCATCCATTGGAAATCTGTTGCGTTCTGTTTCATAACTCTTCATTTGTGTGCGCTCTCAACTCCAATCAAAATCGTATCCTTAAAGCAATAAACCTGGATCAAGCTCATGGTTGCAGCTGCAATCATTTTGAGTTATAGTACCAATCCCATCTACAAATTACTGTCTCACCCTTGACTTGTTTAACTCTACCAGTTATAGTTCCTTATTTGAACTTCGAAAAACTCTTCTCAGATCCGATCACTAGTATGGACATAATTATTCATTCAGGTAGCTTTCTATTTTAAATCTTTCTGAATTTATATAACTTCGAAAATCTTTTTTCTAGGTTCAGTACTCAACAAAACCATAATTTCTGTTTTAATCATATATTTGGTACATGTTTCACGTCGACTGTATGAGTGCGAATACGTTTCCGTATTCAGTAATTCTCAAATGAGTTTCATGCACTTTTTGATGGGTATTGGATTCTATATTGTCGCTCCTAGTTCAATTTTGCTTTCTCAAAGTAATGCAGGTAATTAAAATTTATTATTTTGTAAACTTTGTATGATTAACTATGTATTATCAATTTTTATCTCTAGTTAACTATTTTATTATCCTTTATCGCTGTTCAGTAGATTCCAGTTATTCGTACGCAATATTTCATTTTCTTTCTGCTTGTACATTTTTGTTGTACAGTAATGTACCGTGTAATAATATACGAATTTTATAAGAATCTAGTTGGTTTTGGCAGTTACCAGATAGTAGTTAGTAGGCTTTAAATATAAAGACTATTTAGTGGCTAGCCTAATTAACTTTTAATTATTCGGTCAGAGATTCGAACCACGTTTCATCTATTTCTATATGAACTGTCAATATATATCACTAATCTTGAGACAGAAAGTGCTACTGAAAGCCGAGTACGTTTATCTCCATCTGGTTAATGAGCTACACCAACTTATTTAATAAAGTTAATAAATGTTATATTGATTCCGAAGATATCCCGATTATCCTTTTTTTATCTGTAATTATTGTGTAGTTAAATAGTAGATTCTTATAAACAGTGAAATCGATCATATTCACCACTGTTTTTATTGCTTAATATTGTTATTCGTGCTTCGTCAAAAGTTCGGTTCGCGAGATTTTATTATTTGAGTTTTGTAACTGCTATGATAGTTGGATACTGTTATAACTTATGAACTATGTGCCCTGTTTATTGTACAACGTAACGATACCGCCAATTAGAGAGCAGTGAATTTATCGATCGGACCAGCGACGCATAAAACCCGTACGAGCAGTCTAGAGTTCTTATTGGCCCTGCTTTCCGCCTAGCCCAGGCAGTCAAGTCCAGAACACCAATCTCGGCCTATGCGATATGAATCACTTATTTCAAACATACTGGGTTTATATACTGGCCAGACAGACCACATCATACCATAAAATATGAAACAACATTTGTACAAGAATTAGCTAAATGTGGCTGTGAATGAGAGAGGTAATAATTAATAAGCAGGGCATAATTCAAGGTTGGTAGATCGTATAATAATAGCTCAAAGGTCAAAATAAAGCTCATAATAAGAGGGACATGAATATGAAAAGTTTAGTTACTTAACAATTATACGATAAAAAAAATAAGCATATTATTGGCCCATAAATGGATCCCAAAAGTCACCATTCTTCATTCTTATCGGGACATAACAGATACCAATTAATTAGTTTATACTACATGATACTTCAACGTTCAGTTGCCACATAGAACAACATATAGCAGATGTCAGGATGAGTATGTTTAATGTAATTCATTGTAAAAGTAGTGGAGTTAATCTGCAATAGAAATAATCAATGTATTAAGTCTACTTGTATGTCTTTCAGCGAGCTTTTATTCCTAGGGAGCATGAATTTTCGCAATAGTCGTATCAACATAAAGAACTCTTGAAACAAGAATTTTTTAGAGTACAAAACTTGTTTTCGACAAAGATTAAACTAACTGTAAACATGTTGCCCAGAACTGGTTCTTAAAACATATTAAAAAGCTCCGGTCGCACCACCTCTTTTTTGGTAGGGTGAAGTTCAAACTTCATAGAGGGTTGCTAATCTTTAAGTGGGTCAAGATGTCAGTATCATAGGCACTTAATATCTAATCTTGACGATTTATCACGCTGTATAAATTAATGTGTGTTCAAATTATAAAATTAGAGTATATATATCATCCTGTCGCTATGTGACATTTTCATTTAGATTAGAGCAAAAAGTGGAATTTGCATTTTATCATTATCTTCCATCGTCTGAGTCTGTTGCCATATGGATAGCTAAATTAGGTACTTTAGTAGAAGGACCAAAATTAGTTAGAAAGCTTTCATTCGGTAACTGGGTTGGAAATATATGTTCACCTCACTCTTAACTATGTCTTTTTCCCTTAGAAAATAAGGCCAGATTTTCAACCAGTAGAATATCTCCATTTTCTCAGAGTTAATTCAAATCCTAATCGATAGTGTGTGCTCATCAGCATCTTCCACTTATCATACCTCATGTCTGTCAAGTTTGTTCGATGTGTCACGTTCAGTATATCTTCTTGGAGCGTCTCCCAAACTTGAGTAGGTGTTTTTGCATGTTTGTGGAGTTTCAAATTAATGGTTTACATATTCAAATTTTAACCGTCTCGTTTTTGGTTATGAATTCTGTTCCTCCCCCCCCCCACATATTTCTTTATAGTTCACCAGATTTTACATAGAGCATACATACAGTGAATGTCGCTCAGCTCTAGTATAATCTTTACCTGTAGATTCACAATAACATTTTATTTATGTACCTTCATTAATTTGATAATTTAACAATAACTTATCTTTCAGCTGAACGATCATATTTGACTATTGGCTTATTTAGTGTTCACATGTTAATACTCCAGTATTTGCAGGATTTGGTTTTCCGACAGTTAGCTGCCTTGCGTTCAGGGAAAAACAAAAACTCAGGTAATTTTCACGTAATGCATTTTTCATTTAATATACTATTTATGTACCCGTGATCTCACTATGTTTAGATTTCTGTCCGGATGATTGAATTTCGTGAGCATTCGACATTGATTGTCTATTGCTAGTGCACGTCGCTGACGGGTGTTAATCAGTAAAATACTTGGGTTTATAAGGATTTCCTGTCAATTACCTCCAACCACACAAACAATAGGCTTGTTTAGCGTTTTAGCATTATCTTATGTGTAGATAAGTCTGAGAAAAGCAACTACAAATTTGACCACATCTTCCCATCATTTCGAAGCTTTTAGTTTAATTAGCTACTGCAGCCTGTCTCTATCTTTTCGAAGAGGTTTTCAGTCGATAATCTAAATTATTTTACATTGTTTCACCGAGTATCTTGCGTCAAAAACTTTCATTTCTCAGCAGTCAGTTACAGACTAAAAATTTTTCTATCTATCACTCATTCACGAGAAGTGTACTTAAGCTTCAAAGCTAGTCTTGTTTCCTCTTAGTTCCAAATATATAACACTGTCAAAACTGTTATTTTATCTGTGCGAGTGACAGTCAGTGAGTACCACTGTATTCAGAGTCTAAATTAACTTAATTCTACCACAAATTTGTTCCTATAACTTCACTTCTTAGTAACTAATTTCTGATAGATCGTGTTATTTCCTTGTTCCATATTTGATGTCACTAAAAATATTAGCAAATAACTCAAACACAGTAGTTATTATTTTGAATATATTCGATTCTTTACCGAAATCGAATCTTGTAGAGAGTTTTGTGTGAATTTTATAATGAAATGCATTCACCATTAATTGTGATGAATAAATTAATAAGTAGTCTAATCGAGATTTATTGATCATTTAAATGGATTTGTTACATTATTGTAATAAGTAACGATATTTCAACACAAAATAAATAAATCTTGAAATAATAATCGGAGTAACTTCAAGGTGGCCCAAGGTTTTTTGTAAAATAATTACTTCAGTTCACTTACTGCCGTTTAAAACTAATATTTTATTTATTGTATGTTCATTCATTTGATAGCTGAAAATGCACTTTATTACTTATCGAACAGTAAGTGTAGGATTTAATTTGTCCTGCAGATATACTACTAGAACTGTGAACGCGATACTGGCGATCCCAGAGTCTATGTGGAAGTTATGGTCAGAACAAGGACAACTTGACTTTAAACTTTATCTGTCTCTACACGTAAAAAAACAATCCGATTAGTACAATAATTAAAGGAATTATATTCATTAAGTGGAACGCACAAGTATACCGACCAGTATTGCTTGTCTTATTGAAATGAATAAAAATTATGAATCACACTAATAGGATAATAATGTACTTCAATTGGCAAGTCACATGCAACAGGGTTAGTCTACAGACCATATTGACGTAGTGGGCGCTTAAACCACGATTTCCTTGGTTAGTTATGGACCCTAAAGTAATAACATCCCAAATTTATCATCTAATACAATATAACAGCCAACGACAGATTATTAGTTCACTCTATTTTGCAGTATATTTCTGAGATGGAAGATAAAAATCAACTTGTTGCACAAACTGAAGTGGGTAGCCCAATGTTCAGATTTTGAGACTCATGAGTTCAATATTTAGTAACACTGCGAACATTAAATAATATTAAATTAGACTCTCTTAAAAAATAAGCCCACTTTATGTTTGGTATTTACACTGCAGTATTATATTTCTAGTGTTCAGAATGTTCAAATTCTTAAGAATGTATTTCTTGTTAACTATTAAACTTAGTATTTTTATCACCGAACCTCTCTGTTGTTGCTTCGTTTTTTCACTTAAAGAAACTTATCAGCTTGTAATTGTGTTAATACGGTAGATTGTTATCCTATTTTTAAGAATGCAAATACATTTCTATGCAATAACTTTACAAACACCTGGTTTTCTCTAATGGAAACAAATTCTGTCATTTAAGATTAATTCCCTTTGAATTAATTAAACCTCGATAAGGCTGAGACATAGTTGTTTTTTCTTTCATTATTTGCTTTCGTTAGTCTGATGAATATTCACTCAAATTATCAAATAATATCATACATATGCTTTAAAGAATGCATTTATTTATTGTTATGCATGAACGTGATGAAGTTCTCTTCATTTTGAAGTGGTGAATTGGAATGCACAGTTTGCACTTTCACTGTGTTCAACTCATCTTTACCGTTCCGTCAGCTCGGTCTTTTCAGTTGCGATTGAATGTTTGCCATGAACTCCGTAGCTCCCTCATACATACCTCCCACGTAATCGAAATCCTTCGATCTCTTACTTTACATTCATTGACTATTAGTCAATTAACTGCGTTACAAAATGCAGTGAATATCATTTTAAATTAATAGCAACAACATTTCTTCAACACATCGTAATTAAATTAAAGAGTGTTTAAAGCTGTTATTCTTCACACTTCAGAAGTTGATAATGAATAGATTTTCACATTCTTGAATTAATCTAAGTAGCTTTTGAACAGATTAATTCACGTAGACTAGCCCTGAAATTAAGCAGGTCAAGTTAAAAGACTAAGGAATTTTCGGATTATCAACTTGTTTATAAATGTTAGTTGACTTCTTAGATGTACAGTGACAGTTTAATTTCTCACTATTTCCATGGATGATATCTAAATAAAAACATTTTCATCATATGGCATAATATATGACCAAAGTTTTTTATGCTTTATGTTGAGAGTACAGTATTTTTCGTTTATTAATTTTCCTTGAAGCTATTTATACTTAGTAAAATACTGATTTTAAAGTTTAGGAGTTTTCTGCATTAAGTACTAAGGTTTACCGTTATCCATGGCTTTATTGATTGTTCTTGTAATTCGGTAACAATTTAAAACTGAATTCATCGCTTATTAGATTCATATATATGTGACAAACTAGTGTCTAATATAGTATATTCAGTATTTGAGTAGCAGTAAAATCCAAAATAGAGAGTTTTAGCGTTTTTTAACGAGTTAGTTTTCTACGGAATGGGGTCGCTAACCCCGTGCCCAACCCGCCTTCTTTATCAAGGCTTGGAACTGGCAGTAGCTCCAGAGGGGCTCTAGGCACAGTTCAGAACAGAGAGTGGTCATCTGCGATGCTAAATATCAGCAAAGGGAAATTACAAATCCTTACTAGCACATAATTGTATTTGATAATTAGTTATCTTACTTCAAAAACGTTTTTGAATCGCTGATTAGTTATTTTATTTCGCATACTTTATGATTTAAGATGAAAACCAGTAAAAATTGGTGATAAAGTAATTAACCAGCTGGTGTTACTTGTTCTGAACTCTTGTTAAAGTAACATTTGCTTTAATTCAGTATATTTTCAAAATAGTTTTTTCAATAGACGCCATCAACTGTAAACTTGGTCACTATGGTTACTGATGATTATTGGTAAACACTTCAATAATTCAATTAGAAAAATGCTAATTCACACAAATGATCGAAACGTAATGTATGTGGAATTTTTCTGTCAATTCAATCTTTATCATTTTTTATTTATCTAGTTCTTGGAGGTTTGTTAATTTATTCCATCCAAAAAATATCTTAAAATTTATAATAAATCTTTTATAGACTTTTAGCTTAACCCTAATACTCATGTGATTATGAATTATATTTCACTAACTGGGTAATTAAAAATACATCGGTGTAAATGACATGGTTTTATGTAACACGATTACAAGCTTTTTGTGATATAGATGGTAGAATATTAGAATTGTTCAGTTCACAAAAATTATTCCATTTATATGCTTAGTATTTATGTGTTCATCTAGCAAACTAATCGGTGAGCATTAGAACTACCACTGGAATGTAAGCTAGCCAATGAAAATCAAATTACCTGACTTTGCAACGGTCTTATTAGGAAAAAAGTATGATAAATTATTTGTTGAATTACACTTTTTGGCTTTGGATATTCTGCATGTTTCTAACTCATTGAAATAAAATTAGAATTCACTTAAACTATAGAATTCAAATTTTTATTTTCATATTTTTAAATAGCTTACCAACGTTTCGCTTAATTAAAAACATTTTATTGTTGTTTTTAGACAAGTTATCGGAGAAAAAGTATTATCCACCCGAAGGGAGCATGTTTTATTGGGTATCGTGCCCGCACTACATACTTGAAATATCAATCTACTTATCATGTCAATTATTTATTACACCTAAATGGATACCATTTTCGCATATATTATTTTTCACAATATGCAATCAATTATGCTGTATATGGCTAAATCATAATTGGTATAAAAATAATTTCCCTGAGTGGGCATCTAAACGTGCTATGCTGATTCCTTATGTATGGTGAATATAAAAATGTATGTTCACTTCTCTCAAACATAAACATCTTGATGTAAAATATTTTTTAGTTGGTGTTAGACTATTCATTTTATTCAACTGACTACGCATTATCTAATATTTTTTATGTGATTGTTTTCCGAAGATGCTCCGTTTTGTGATATTTTTCTTTTCTATTCGAAAAGTTATTGTAATGTAAGTACATTCTTCCTTAAGAGCTGTTTTGAATTAAGGAGAACCTATCAAAAGAAAAGCTATTAATTATTGAGTATTCATATTTTAGAGATCACAGATAATTTCGTCAGACACTCACTAATGTGCTTCGTGGTAATACATCAATGCAATGGCTAATATCGTGTTATTAATCGGCACTGTGTATATTTCAAAACGTCTCCGAATAGTACACCAAACCAATGCGGTGCATCAACGCCACGTAAAACCTGTAAGCTATAGCAGTATAAAACTATATTTCAAGAGTGTCAAAAATCACTTGTAGTTACTAAACTGTAGGTGCTTTCCAGAAATGCATTTAAATCTTAGTAGTGACCAATATAAGCATAAGTTGTTATGCAGTAAAGTGATTAGAATGTTTGGGGTTCATGAAAAAACCAGTTTTCTTAGTTTAAGAACCCGACATCTTTTAATAGATTTATATAAGAAATATTATGCCCCCTCAATCATGCTGCTTAGACACATTTCGTACTAAATATCCGATTGTCTAGGCACTCCTCAATAGTTGTGATCCGTAGGTATTCTTCGTTTTCTACATTTCTGGGTATTTAGACCTGGCACATGGTTTGTTTATTTAAAGTCAAACTCGCAGCAGCATCACAAAGGCAGTCCATAGTGCGTGAACTGCTCTGCAATTTTGTGTAAGTCTGCTCCGTTTTCTGTTAAGTAATTCCATCAAGACAACAGTTTCAGTGACACTTGATGGTCACGATAAGTTATGCCATAATCAGGCATTTATGATAAGCATGGGATTTGATTCTGTAATGTTATAGCCCCATCAGTTGTAACTTATTACTTTACAGTCATATGTTTTGTAGTCACAGTTGCCTGTGTTTTGAGGAACAACGTTATACTCTATTCCCTAGCTTTCGTCATAAGTTTTGAAATAATAAGTGAAAAGACGAAATCCTTACCGAAGACAGGTACTGACTGGTAATTTCAAAAAATATATATAAGGTGAAAGGATTAAGTTGAAGCAATAAGATTTGAAATTTAAAAGGTTGTAATACATGTATAGACTGTCTAAATCATGCACTCACTAATTGTTAGCCCTCGGTTGGCTATATCCGTTTGAGGATTATGGCACGACTCGACATAAAACACCTATCCTTTATGGCTACCTTGCGATTTTCATACTCCTATACTTCTACATGGAATCAAGTAGGATTTTCTCGTGACCATCATTGTCTTCGTCCTTGTTTGTGTTGGGGTCGATCCATTGTAAGTTCCTTGAGTGGCCATTTTATCCTGTCAAGTTTGTATTCGTTTTTTTCTCTTTTTGGACTTGACTTCGTAAGGCCTGGAAAACTTCGAGTTTAACATCCTTATCATTCACCAATGCAGAAGATGAGGGCTACTCAAGTTGTACGGGAATAGTGCGAGTTAGCTGACATCAAGGTCATACCTCACAATACCTAGGGTGCACTACTGTTTCGTTGTATATAGGTACCGTGACTACTTTGATGATTGTATATAGACGTTACTATAGAAGTGTATTAGTAAGGATAGGAGGAATAGAGTGCGGCCACCAGAGTATCGGCGAGTCAGTGGCGTGCAAACTGATCCGAGCTGGTTGACGAGATTTGCTAGATCGTTCAACACAAGCCATGCCTGTTTGGTGACTAGACTGTGGCTCAGTGACATTTTGCTATCCCCCAGGGACAATCGAGCGTTTTATAACTCCCTTGCTAGCTCTGAACGATATAATATTATCCACACAACGTATCTCAGACATCAGTACCTTATTTATGGCCATAATTTGAACTTATGTGCTTAGTTGGGAAAATCTATTTGGAGGAAAGCTATTGCCTTATACTTGAGTAAAATCTATTCGATTGATTGTGGACAGAATAAAAGGAGCGTTCACTTAACGGACTTCCATATCTAGTGACAGTAGATCATCAGGTAGGAACCTAGGTATTTATGTAACCTTTTCGAGTTTCATTGTTTTATGATGGAACAGAGGTTTCTGCAAACTCACTACTGGAGATTAGCCAAATACATCTATGAAAAAAAAACATTGGTAGATACCCTCAGTATAGCAGATTTAGCAAGTGAACAGGTTTTAACAATATGTCTTCATCTGCTTCAGCGAGTCTTTAAACGACTACTGGACAAAAATCGAACTTTTATAGCACTAATAGTCTGTTGACATTTGGATTTAACGATTGACCGACCATGTAATACGGTCTACCATGGATAAATGAATGAAAGAGATTCGTGTAGACACTGTTGACCAAGACATGATTCACTTTAATTTGTATCTTCATTAGTTACACAATTACCACAACCTACTTACCATTTCCTTCGTATATTTTGTACGAACATGCTTCCAGTGGTGTCATTTTGTGGCTTCCAAGTCCTAGATGACCTTCTCTTCGTTCAGATATTTTGCTTCCCTGTGATCACCTTAGTCATACTGCTATTCAATGAAGATGTTGGTAAGGCTGTTAAAATTTTGGGTCCTTGTGGTGTTTGAATGGACTAATGATACCTTTGTACTGGTTGAATGCTTGATTTCGAATTCTAAATACAATACATTCGTTGGTGCCTGTGTCTTCTTAATTCAGTTGCGTTAATCCTGGAATTCCTAATTCATACGACAATTAGAATACTATATTGGCGTCGCGATGGAGCCTGCAATGGAAAAGTTAGATATTCATTCAACTTCGGAAGCTTTTGAAGATTACTTTGAAAGGTTCGAAATCTGGGCTATGACCAAGGAAGATGATGAGGATGTTAATATTGTGGCACACTTCCTCACATTCATTGGAAAAGAAGCATACAGCTTATTAAGAACTCTGGCTATGCCGGAAAAGACCATTTCGCTTTCTTATACAGCTCTCAAGGATCTACTGCTAGACTATGCTCAGTATTCAAATTTCGAATGTCGTAAAGGAGAAAGATTTCGTAAAATGATTCATGAGGATATAAAAAACACCACTACATTACGTCATCCCCACCCAGTGCATACTCAAGGTTATGCAGACAATTCATTGAGTTTGGATGCAGTTCACGAGGATGGGGACAAGTTTAGTCAGTGTTTGTCCTGTTGCAAGTTCCACTCTTCTAATTCATGTAAATTTCGTAATTGTAAGTGCTTCAAATGTCGTGATATTGGACAAGTTCAGTCAGTTTGTAATGCTAATGTTCATCTTACTGCAACTAATATTAAGTCTTGTAATTCTGATTCTACTAAGTCGAGTATTCATGATGATCATCTATCTTTATCAACGATTTCAAAAGACAGTGCAGAGTCATATGGCAGTTCAGAGTTAGATGAAATCCAGAATTCTTGTGAGACAACAGTTCCTAATCAACCGATTTTTCAGAATTCTCATGCTATTGTACCAGGTATGACTTTTCCTAATGATTCACATATTTCTAATGAAATTACTTGCAATTCTGAGGAAAATATGTTAAATGAACCTAGTCATGATCGGAAACCTGATGTGGTTTGGATAGATGCTGATTTTTCTAACGATCCTACGCTCTGCACTGACAGTCCTAATGAATTCCGTGAGAATATTTCAGAAGAATCAAATGCTGATGTCATATCATATATTACCTATCCTCATAATGTATTTGATCCTTGCGGAAAACCTGCTCAATGCGAAGCACGAGTACTAAGTGATCTCGAGTTTGATTACATTTCGGATGATTTCATATCAACTGCTGTTTACTCTTATCACAAAAACAGTTCTAATGTTTACTCTAAACAATGTGAGATATATGTTTTAAATGAAGCCACATTATTCATAACTTAGGGATATAAAGATCCAACATTATTTTGTGGGGGAGGATAGTGTTGAAAAATCTATGGTTCAAATTCTAGATATTAATGATTTCATTACAAAACCGGCATGCTGGTTGTATACAATCCCAGGTGAGTCTGTTCCGATTTCGTTAGTTAATTCCAATACTAATGAGCACTTTCTAGATACTACAAAGTTTTTATCTTATACAATGTCGGGCAGACTCAGGATGAACTTAACAAGAAGACGTACAACCGATTACAAACACTTATACTTCTATTTAAGCTGTGGCGGATGTGGTGTTTGAATGGACTGATGATACCTTTGTACTGGTTGAATGCTTGATTTCGAATTGTAAATACAATACATTCGTTGGTGCCTGTGTCTTCTTAATTCAATCGCGTTAATCCTGGAATTCCTAGTTCATACAATAATTCGAATACTATAGTCCTTCAAGCAATTTTAGAATATTTTGGGTGCGGTTTTCTTATTCATCTTCGGCAAACCATTACGGAACAATAGTTGTGATTTTTTTACCACTTGAGTCCGATTGTTGTATAAACTGGACTTTTTATATCTCCGCATCTTTCTCACACAAGCTGTCTGTAGTTCCAAGCATGCTCTTCAAGTCCCATTTTGCTAGTGATTTGCAGATGGTGTATCCATCCACTACCATAATAATGTTCAGCATTTGAACTTTAATGAATACATGATAAATTCCTGAAGCGTGGTTTATCTTCTAAACCACAGCATGTTGTATATTTACGTAGCAGTAATAACGAACCGATGCCTTTATCTAGTACTCAGTAAATTGTCAAGTAAACAACTACCTGGAAGAAGTCTGTAACTTGCACTTACTGTGCTTGTGGCAAAATGGGATAGAATCTAGGTATATGACAGTATTAATTTGCGTATGTTTTTGGTAACCTATGTGAAGCATTTACAAGTTCGCAATAATCAGGTCAGTAGTTCCAGTGTGCATTCAACAAATTGGTCATAGGGGGCACAATATTTCCACACAAGCGTATACACAAGGCTACATGGATCTCACCGGATCACACTACAGAGAACAAGATAGATTATATTTGCAACAACAAAAAATTCCGAAGGACAATGGAAGATGTGAGAACCAGGAGAGGTGCTGATGTAGCTTCAGATCACCATCTAGTTGTAGCCAATTTAAAACTGAAGCTAAAAAAGAACTGGACAAGTGGACAAACAGCAATACAGCCTTCCTTCGAGATACTGACAAACTCAGTGAATTCAAGATAGCTCTCAACAACAGGTTCCAAGCCTTACAAGATCTACTGAAGGAAGAAGAAACTACTATGGAGGACAACTGGAAAGGCATCAAGGAAGCAT